TGTAGCCTGTGTGGATAATCATTTCACTCTACTGCAACCCCTCTTCCTATTTTTTCTTCTGATAGGCCATCTCACTGAACTGTAGTAAGGCTTAGAGATGATGTGTGCAACTAACCTAGAAAGGCGTTCAGCAAATTGTAAGACTAAACAAGTAGCAATTGTAATTATCATGCGAGATGTTATTTCCTAGTCCAACTTCCGTTCAGTCTAGGAATTCCCTACAACTTCTTTACAGCAGGTCATCCAATCTCTACTTGAATACAGAAAGGTCATAGCCTCACAGCTATGAGGATGGAATGAAGAAAATCGAGTATGGGCCTGGTGACTGACAGCACAGATAAAGCACCGTCCTGGCCCTACAGCCTAAAGGCCTAACTGCGAAAGTGCAAAGTTTGACTGCAAAAATGAACTGAAGATTAATGGCAAGTCTGTAATGAACTCTCCCCAGGAAACAAGGAGGGAAGTGCAATTGTAATGTCACGAGCATTCATCTGTGGAAATCTAACAACTCAGTGCCTCATAGAATAAAACCAAGTGATATTTATAGTTGTTATATTACACCTGAAATTGTAGGCTTAAAATTGACTCGATGTACACTGAAAGAAAGCTAATGCCAAAATAGTGAGCCCACTTTCCTCTGCATTAAATCATATACCACCAACAGTATTCAAAGACAGTCAACTTTCCTACCATTTACCTTTTAACTTCTTGCAATCTTAATTCCATGTTCACTACTTAACAGAATGCACTCCCTTAATATCCCCTGACTTCAAAACACCAGAATCCAAAAGCTTTTTGTAGACCTCACCCTTTTTTATTTATTAAGAACATTCTGTTGGCTATCCTTTTTTTTTTTTTTTTTTAAGTGGTTATTCCTCTGGTATTCACACATTGCAGTGTCCTGGGTCTCCATGTGAAGGCTCTCTCTCTACTGGTGAGTGTCCTTCCTCATCCCATCCCCTAAATGGGGGTAAATTTCTAAAGATTCTGTCCTAGGGCACTTCTTTCCTCACTCTTTCACCCACCATTTTTCTAATCCTATGATTTCAGTTCTCACTCTGTGACAATTTGGTTATATAACAGTTACCTCCAGTTATGGTACCACCTCAGAATTCTAATCTCATGTTTCTATTTGCTACACTATTCCAGTGAACTATCTTATCAAGATCACAAATTCAAAATAACTAAAATTCAACTTATCAGTTATGTTCTCAACTTTCTTCTGACCAGTTTTATCAAGCATCAAGCCAGAAACTTTAGCTCTATCTCTTCTTTTTTAACTTCAACCCCTACCTCCAATTAGCGCCAAGACTTTTGCTGAATTTTCACCTCCATATCTTTCACTTTTACTTCCTGACTGCTTTTTTAAAAAAAGACACCTTCAGTCTGGCCACAAATTCAACCATGGTCAGATGTCCTGGATGTAAATCCAACACAGACCAAATCCATCTCCCACTTTCTGCTTCAAGACTTCTTTCTCATCAATTTTGCCTCTACTAGGAATACTGCCAAGGAAATAGGTTAAATATTGAAAAAACTGTATCATATAGGCTGAAGCTTTCTGATTGAAGTTACATTATGGAACATTTTAAATGTCTAATATAGTAGGCAATAGGGAGCCATTGAAGATTTTTTAGTACATCCCTTAAGTGAATCCTGCCACTTTCTACTTGTATAATATTGTTTATACTATTTCCTGTTCCTAGAATGTGTACTGTCTTGCTCTTCACCTCTTCCATAGTCTCCAATGATTATTTAAAATAGAATTTTCCCTTTTCTAGCATCTCTTGATATAGCTATTTAAGGCACATAACATACAACCACATAGTTTTCTTAATCAGGCACCCATAAGATTTGCAGCTCTTTGAGGGCAATAATGATTAATATTTTACTCATACATTCAACAAATTTTTTTGAGTCTTTACTATTCTATGTGAAGGTGATACAAACAAGATATACCAGGCCCTTGCTCTCGTAGAGTTTAAGTTCTAAGGTGCATAGAGGGGCATGTTTTACAGATAACAAGCCAGTAAATAAACAAAACAGGATAATCTCATCTTTAGATTAGGTAGTTATGGAAGTTCTCCCTGAGGAGGTGACACAGGAGATGAAATCTCAATAAGAGGCACCCAATCAAAGACGAGTACAAACAGAAAGTTGTTGAGTTGTGCATAAGTACAGTCACAGGGAGGACAGTGTGGTCGGAGCTGGTGGGTGGAGGGGAAGGCCAGAGTTGAGGTTAGTTTGTAGAGGTGGGTGAACAGGGCCAGACCTTGAAAGTCCATGAAGGCCAGCACAGTGGTTTGGATTTCATTCTAAGATTTTAAAAGGAGTAACATGATCTAATTCACAATGTAAAACAATCTCTCTGGCTGCTGTGTAGAAAATAGATTATACAGGGTCAAGAGTGGAAGCAGGAAGATTAATTGGAAAACCACTGCAGTAATCAAGAACATAAGATAATAGTAGGTTGAATTCGGTGACAATAGAAGAGAGAGAGAAGTAGACACATATCTAGTGTCCGTAGTTTTAAGCACAGTATCTTGAACATGATTAGATGCTCAGTATATTGTGAAAGTTGTCAGAACCAAAATGGAATTAAAAAATCTATGACAGGATGAAATGGAGAGGGTATGCAAACACAAAGGTTAAAAAGAGAGCCTCTAGTTGGCATCAGCTGTAACAGTGCACCTAAATAAAGGATGTGGGTAAAGTTAATTTTCATTAAAATTAAAGACTTTTCCAGTTCTAATTTACTTTTGATGTTTTTGGAAATATAAAACCTTAATTTTGCTCTCTTGATATGATAAATTTCCTAATAAGTAGCCAATACTATCTTACTGGGGAGTAATATTTATAAAATTCTAAGAGCACCGAATGTCACCTGCTTTGTTTCTAAATTAGGAATCTGATAAAAGTCTGGCAATTCAACTGGGTTCTCATTTTCACTCATATATACCTCTTAGGACATTTAGATTCTTACCCATGAAGATTCACCCTACATTATGAAGTAAATCCAAATTCCTTTAACGTAAAGCAAAAGCTAGGGGGAAACAGGATCAATTTTTGCCACTTTCCACCTGAAATGCTAAACGGCTTCTGAATTGTGTGAAACTTGGCCCTCATCAGTGTGAAAACTGGCTGAAATCTGTATGAAAGGCAGTCTGGGTTTGTCAAAGTAGTTCATGAACTTTGGCCAAACTTTCAGGAAAACTGGTCCAAGTCTTAGTTTGTAATGCAACATGAAACCAGGTGAATTTCAGATGGTTTCAGGTTTCATTCTGAAACTTTGGCCTAGCTTTATAATCAATCATCACTCTTTGTAACGATGAAAGCCAACACACCTTTTTGAAAATGAGGACTGCATGCATACTGACGACAGCTAAGCTGTGAGCCGCCCCTTCACTTCCTTTGCCAAAAGAAGATTTCTCAGAGTGGAAACAGTTTCCCTCTTACCTGGAAAGGGCAAGTTGAGTGATCTTGATATTGCGTGTCGAAAGAAAGGATACTCAATATGTGGAGACATGCCACGTGAAATAATCACCACATACAAGCAAGTGGCTATATTCTAATCATTTAAGGTTATGAGAGTTTTATTCCATTCACATCCATGACAGTAGAAACCATGGTGTTTAATCTCCTTGACCATTAGGATGAGCTTTTAGCTTGAAGCTAGGCATCAAGAAAATAACTGCCACAAGAAACAAACTGCTCTGAAGGATAATCATTATTTTTTATATGAAGAAGCAGCTGAATAGAAGAGAAAGTAAATCACAGCATAACTTTTACCTAGTTTGAGAAACATGAAGAGATAGAAAGACTGCAAACCTTTCAAATTAGCATCAACTGCATCTTTTGCAAAAAAACCTCTATGCATTATTAATGAATTCAATAATTAACTAAGCACAGTACATTTTACAGAAAGACCTACATAGTTTCTGTTTTCAACCTGAAAGTATTAAATGTGCTTTTCTACTGTAAAAAATTACTCACTTCAACCAAATACTCGCTTTTTGTGTGCATAGTGACATGAGAAAATTTAGAGGTATGTCTGAACAGAGCCACTACATCATTGGAACAGTATGTCTGAACATTTGGGTAATAAGGCACAGATGTGAAGCAGAGATCTTGGCACTACCAAGGTAACAACAAAGCATTCACCATTGTGTTATAATGGTTAAAAGGGCCACATTTGAGAAGTATAAAAGAATGTCCCTCTTCCCTACAATGCTAAATTACATTATACATTTCATCTGCTTAAAAATCTATAAAACACAAGAAATTCAAATGAGTATTATTCAAACTTATGATGAGAATATGTAAAATGCATTAATATTTTTATCTATAATAAAACATATTTATTCCATAGCATGTAAGGTTTAACTGCAGAAAAAGGCTAAATTTAAGAGAAACACACATGGCCTCTATGTTGCAAAACAATGCATTCAAACCTGAAGGACACAACAGTCATTAGAGAGGTAGTGGATGTTAATTGTTAGAAGTAATTCTGGCCCATAATGAGTAGGTCTAATTATTGTAGAATGTTCTTTTTATAGGGCCGGCCCGGTGGCGCACTGCTACAGTGCGCCGCTTGGGAAGCGCGGCGGCACTCCCGCTGAGGGTTCAGATCCCACATGCAGACCGGTTCCCGCTCACTGGCTGAGCGAGGCGTGGGAGCAACACCGAGGGTTGCGATCCCGTTGCCGGTCCCGGTCCAGTACGGGCACGACACTGAGGGTTGCGGTCCGTTGCCGGACATGAAAAAAGAAAAAAAAAAAAAAAAAAAGAATGTTCTTTTTATAGACATCAAGTTAAGATAATGCATAGGATATACACATTAATTATTGTTAAAGCTTTTCATTTATAGGTGGTCTGGAACGTTTGCCAGCCATTACTAAACCATCTGGCAAAAAGGCAGTTATGAATCTGGGTTACTTTCATTCAATTAATTTGGAGCTAGAAACTAGTTTTCTGTCCAGGATAGGAAGAATACAACTTACCCGAGGTCCCTGATCACCTTGTTCTCCCTGTAGAATAGGAAGGTGAGATGATCGTTTTAGCCAAAATCTATATGTGATATTCATTAAAAACATCAAAATATAACACAGTATAGGTCATGCCATTATGGATTTGTATTTACTTGTTTTTGCTACATGTTTTCTTACCTTATCACCTTTTGGACCAGGAGGGCCCTGAAGAAAAAAAAAAAAAAGGAGAGAGAGAGAGAAAGAGAAAAAAAATTTAATTAAAAAATACTGTAGCCCAGAAAGAGAAATATCACATGTTCTCACTTATTTGTGGGAGCTAAAAATGAATAAATAAATACACAAATAAACTGGAGTGGGGGGGGGGAGG